CGGGTGTAGATCTGGAGAGGTATTACTACCTGATTCAAGGTTAACATAACTAGGCTGTCTAGTTCTTCTTTGTATGCCTGGTATTTGCAGGTATGTTATTACCTGTGTCACCATAGTGCCCAAAGGTCCCATCTGTAATCAGTACCCCAGGGTGCTGAGTGCTCTACATAAATAGCAAGATGGCCCTTGTTGTCTTGCCAGACCAAAGGTGGATATAATTTTTAAGGCCCCAAAAGGAGGCAGCTTTAGAAAAGAGATGACTAAGGGGGGATATGGTAGAGTTCTATACCATCATAAATGCTATGGAGAAAGTGAATAAGGGAGCGTTATTTACCTTCTTCACATAACACAAGAACCAAGGGTCACCTGATTGAAATTAATAGGTAGCAGGTTTAAACCAAACAAAAGGAAGTATTTCTTCACACAATGCTCGGTCAACCAGTGGAACTCCTTGCCAGGGGATGCTGCAATGGTCAAAAGTATAACTGGGTCCAAAAAAGAATGGGATAAGTTCATGGAGGATAGAGCCACCAATGGCTATTATCCAGGTTGGTCAGGGACACAAACCCATGCTCTGGATGCCCTAAACCTCCAGTGTCCAGTTCCTGGGACTGGATGACCAGGGATGGATCATTTGATAAGTGCCTATTCTTTTGAAGCCTCTGGCATTGGCTTCTGTCAAAGGCAGGATACTGAGCCAGATAGACTAGTGGTCTGATCCCGGATAGCCATTCTTACGTTCCTGTCTTTTAAAAGCCACACCTGCGGTATTTTTGGCTGCAGGATTTCATTAGTCAGGCTGACCAAAGCAAACGCCAGGTTGTTTTTCCCTAGGGCTTGGCTTGCTTTTGAAGGAAGGTATTCAAGGTATTGTTCCTTTCTGTCTTAATTGTGATAACTTAGGTCAGAGAGCTCACTGAGAAGTGGTGCGGGCCTGAGGAATGTTAATAACTGGCTCTTCAAACTCATGGGGCTGCACGTGTGTTTGTGTGTTTTACTTGGAACAAGGATTTGCAAATTATGCAGAATGCCTCCTTGGAGATCCGTGCACTGCAACCCCCATGAAGCATAACTCCACTGATAAGCCAGTGCCAACAAGATAGGTGCATATTTTTGCCATTGAGCCTTGGAGGAGCAAGCATTGTGCAATGAATGGAAGCATCGACAGCTAAAGATAGGAAAGAAACAGAAGTATTTGGCACATGGACATGCCCAAAGAAAGCGCAGGAATTGGCCGTGAGACTGTCTGTGACAACTATGTAGCAGGGCATACGGTATCGGTGGTACATAGGGTGAACCCCAGAGCATTTCAGCTCAGTGTATAAAACTGACTTAGAAGATTGCCAAGCAACTAAGAGAACAGCTCAAATGTATAACATTTGTCCCAGGCAATTATCACACGGAATGGCATATAGCCAAAGCCAGTAAGCCTGCTCTAATTGGGCAGGAGCGGTTGAATCTTGGAAGCAAATGTTTTTGCACTGTGTGAGGCCAAGAAAAGTGCAGCACGGTTCAGTGCACTGTGTGAGGCCAAGAAAAGTGCAGTACGGTTCAGGTAACAATAAAAATAATAATAATTAATCATAATAATACATGTTGATGGCATGCCCTCCCATAGTGCTTTTGTCTGAGGATCTCTAAGCACTTTGCAAATGTACATTAATCCCACTGTCCTCTTGGGATGTATGGAAGTATTATTGTTATTACTCATCTAAAGCCCAGAGAGATTAAGTGGCTTGCCAAAGTTCTTGGAGCGAGTTGGTGACAGTGCTGGGAGTAGAACACACGAATCTTGACTCCCAGGTCTAATCACGCTCCTGCCTTTTTTATTCCAATTAATGATGTTACTTCTCTGCCCTCACGGCCAGCCACAGAAACTTAATTGCGCCTTAATATGCGTATTTGTTTTGCCACTTAAAGCCTTGTAGGAGTGAAATATCTTCCTGGATTGGGGTCCTGAATGAGGAGAGAGGTATTAGAACCAACAGGTCCTTGTTCCCGAATGAGATTGATTCCTGCAATACAGACTCCGGGGTGTGCCCGAGGTCAGCTTGTGATCAGACAGTCTACCATGTACTATCCAGCCCTCTCAGGCCTGGTCTGGGAAATTGACCCAAATAGCTCCCCGCCTGGAATTTTGTCAGTGTGCTAATTATTCTGGAATAAAGTAGTTTTTATTCTGGAATAGGATCCACATGGGAAGCTATCCTGCCATAGCTATTCCAGTCAGTTTCCCTGGAACAGAAAAGCCCTTTACCCTGAAATCATTTTTTCATTTAGTCCTTCATTCACTCCAAGCAGAGAGCTTGCTGTAGAGCAGGGGTTCCCAACCTGGGGTACACATACCCCCAGGGGGTATGAGAATCTTGTCAAGAGGGTACAGGCTAAATAACTAGATTATCCTAATTGAAATATTCCAAAAGTATTAGTGTTAGTGAAAAAAATTGTGGATTCTAGAGTCTAGAATTTATTTCCTTTCCTATTGAATAGGGGGTATGGGAAGGTTTACTAAAAGCCAAGGGGGTACGAGGACTGAAAAAGGCTGGGAACCCCTGCTGTAGAGTAACCCATGTGGCAGTCTGCATTTGCCACAAGTTCAGCCTTGGATTCTACGTCACTCTTAGTGGAGTACCACTTGGTGGAGGCCAGTAACACTGGATTTCTTTCTAGGATTTTATGTGCTTGAGAGCGTCTATACACAGGCAGTCCCCAACTTATGAACAGGTTGAATTCCAAAAGTTCATTTGTAAATTGGTTGTTTGGAACTTGGCACGCATTTTCCCATAGAAACAATATTCTAAATGGTAGTTAAGTTCCCAGCCTAGCCCACAAAAGACTATTTCACCCATAACGTAGCTGAAATATCGTATATTTGCAATGAAAAATATTAGAAATAGTTTTTTATTTAACCTTGAGTGCTGGTGTTTGAGGAAAGGCAAGTTTAATTAGAGGACATTGAGAAGGCAGGTGGAAATTCTGAAGGGGATTTCAGGTTATCCCCTGGCTACCGCTGACTCCCCTACACTGGCTCCAGTAGTCAACCCATTGTCCCCTCTCCCCCAGCAGGCTCTGTGTTAGCTCTGACAGTGCTCGCTGCTGGTTGCATCTGATAGCTCTGAAAGACGATCGTCACAGTGACAATCACGTGTAACCATAATAAAGTCCCCCTAAGCTAGTGTGGGGTAGGGAAACCAGTTGTATTTGAAACCGAGGCATTATCTGAGCTTAGAGATCAGCATGACACAGTGGGAGAGCGGTGCATGATAGTTATCCCGACCATTAGAGCACCTTGAGATGCTCCTCCAAGAACGATTTTCCGGTTAAGAATTTCTGCTTCCATAGATTCCCTTTCCCATTCAGCTGCTTCAGAACGTGCAGCTTTAAAATCAGTGGGCAGTGATGCCTAGGCAATTTCTATAACGGGGGTGCTGCGAGCCATTGAACCAAGCTGTAAACCCAGTGGATGGTGGAAACATTTCCCTCTGTATCAGTGGGCCAGAATCCTAGCTGGGTCAGACTTGCATTGGGAGGTGCTGCCCGTTCGGGTGTGAGGCGCTTTCGTGGAGTTGCAGCCAGCGTGGTTTTGGCCCCACGCATCCATTGTGCCGTGGCATGGAACAGTCTGTGGCATATGCTTGAAAGGAAAGCCCTAAGAATGCTGTATTACAGCTCTGATGAAGGACAAAATGGAACCCAGCGTGTTGGGTTTTCTTTGGGAGCATCATGAATAGTAGTGGCTTATGAAAGCGAAAGCTTGCTAAGCCCTAACGAGAGGCTGGTACCACACCTTATCGTGGCCCTATCTAAGTTAGTGGCACATCAATACACATCAGGGATTACAGTGATGGGTGGCAATACAGAACCCAAGAGGGAGCCTGAGCTGCAGAAACATCTTGTGTCCTGACCCCGACCACAGTCCTTCCAGTTCCGGTGACTCTCCCGGGCAAATGTAGTCAGCCACGTCTGGTTGTGTGGGGACATTGTGGTGTGGCGAAATATCCAGGCAGTTCTCGTCTGAGACCATTTGTAACCAAGTGCTCAGAGGAGAACAGTCAGTCTGTTAATTTTCTGGCATATAAACTGGCAGAAAATAAAATACATTGCAGAGGGTTCTTAATGCATTTTCATACTTATTAGTTACAGCGACTAATTCTAGATGTTATAAAGAGATGAAGTTGAGTGATATAAAAATCACAGACATTGCCGTAACAGAACAGCTCAGTGATCTATCTGGACTTGTTCTTTCTGTCTGTCTATCCATCACACTTCTAAGGTATTTTATCATCACGGTGTCTATGCATGAACAGTGTCTCTGGCAGTGACTAATGCCACCTCCTGCATGGAACTGAAAATTCTCCTAAATTACACGTAATTCTGCACTAGTGGGTCAAGGGGGTCAAGTTCTTCTTGACCTGCAGCTGGTGATCCCTCTGCTGCCTGAAGATTAATTGCTCTTGCAGTTTTCAGCCCATTTAGTGTTACAGCAGATGCTATTCTTAATCCTATAAATGTTGGGTATAATATCAACCTAGAGGTTTTGGTGCTAGCTGCATCCAACTCTCTGTGGCCTCACAAGAGCATGGAAAAGGGATCACAGAGGAAACCACAGCGTCGTCTTCTCCCAAGAACATACCCGCGCAGCAAATAGGGACGAGATTGGCTCTGTCTAGAGTGGAAAATGAAAAACTGGGCAGTGAGCATGCTGGGATAGGGCGGTACAGAATGCAGAGAAGGGGTGTGACAGCAAAGGCCGGGAGCAATTCCAAGGAACTTAGACAAGTGAATAATTCCAAGTAACTTAGACAACTAGAGCCCTGCGTGGATACAAAATTTGAGCCGTGGATATCCACATCCATGCTCACGGATGCAGATGTAAGTAGATATCTGTGGATTTGCAGGGCCCTAGTAATGACCCCGACTCCCTTGGCCCACTGTTGCCTCACTGTGTCTCTGCATTTTGCTTGATCGGTGTTTAATGAAACTCTCTCTATTGTTCACAGGCGACTACTTTGGCATCCTGAAGGAGGAGAAGGTGACAAGTTTCCCATTTAATGTAATGGACAATCCCATGTACTGGGGCAGCACTGCCTGCTATCTAGGCTGGTCCATCATGTGAGTACAGCTCTGGGCAGGCCTGGGCCACATATGCTGGTCACTCATTGTTCCCTAGAGTCAATGGCCATGTTCGCGGTGTCTGAGGGCCGATCTGGTGACATGCTGGCCGGGTGAGCTGGGAAGGGCATTTGCCCCTTTGTGGGATCTGGCCCATAAGTGCCACTAGGTGGCTATATGCTGCTTGGAGTGTAGGTGAAATTCTGCCTTGCCACTGATACTGGGGAAGGATGGGAGGACTGGAGCCTCTGTCACCCTGGCCAGAAGCAGGGAAGGGCTGGGAAGTCCACTGCATCAATGCCCCACACATTACATCCTTGGAGTTCCAAGCTGTCAAACCTAGATGATGTAGGAGGCAGCAAGCAGTAGCGAGGCCTGCAGCATGGTCCTCTGAAAAACCATGAGGAGACTTGCCTGGAGCCCCCCTGGCTTGCACTGTGGAACGGACAGCAGCGTTTCTACCAGGCGTACCACTGGACTATCTCAGGAGACGGAAAACTCCTATAGGGTGGGGCTGTCCTGTAGGCAGCTCTAGGCATTGTGGCCCACCCCTAGGGGGAGACATGAGCACTCAGGTGAGGCGGGTGCATTGCATATGCAAGTAGTGGAACTAATTACTGATCCGGTTTTGTGGAGAGATGTGGAGGTGCCTCATTAATGTTACTCCCAACATCTTGTAGAGGTGGCAACGGTAAAAACTTACAATGGAAGTTATCTAAATGGTCTGAACTTGGGGGTGATCTGGCAGTGAAAGGAAAGTGCCATGCACGCTGCTATCAAATCCCCCCTCACTCTTCGCTTCTGCAGACTAAACAGACCCAAGTCCCTCAGCCTCTCCTCGTAGGTCATATGCTCCAGCCCCCTAATCATTTTGGTTGCCCTCCAATCATTTTGGTTGCCCACATTCCAGAAAGACGAAACCTTGGCATCTGATCTTCTGCAGCGCGGAGTCCTTTGGCAGATGCTGCAGCATGGGGAAAAAAATCAACATCTAGGGCCAAATTTATTCCTGGTGTAGCTTCACAATCGCCAAGCGATGGACAGAGAATCCGTCTGGTCCAATAATTATTTGCCTTCAGAAAAAGACTGAAGGACTGTGGGAACCTTTCAAGAACAGATTCCTTGGGAGCATATCAAAGTTTTAATAGACTGCTCAGGAGGAAAAAAGGACGAATTTATATTCTGGAAATTCATGAGCAATATGCTCTAGGTTGGAAGTGGTTTTCATGTGATATCGTGTTTAATTTTAAAAATGAGTTGTCTTTTTTGGCACCTTAGAGACTAAAAAAAATATATAGTGGTCAAAACCCACTTCATTAGATGAGCTGGAGTGGAAAATTTAGTTGCCCAGTAACACACAACAAGATTACATTGGGAACTTGGATCCATACAACATTACAAGGTATTTTCTTGTTTGTTACTGTACTCACCACACAGGAGTACTACACAACAGAAACTGGGGTGATATTATGATTATATGAAGCCCTGTTTCTTCATTTTCTGCCTTTAATGTATATTGCACTGGCGTCACTGAGACACAAGTCTTCTCCCCTCTCTACAGTGTGCTCCTTATTGTACGTTCTACACTTAGACTGCCCGTTGATGTCAGGGAGAACTCTGCCCAGATGGGCTGATCCCACTCCTGTTGAAATGGATGGGAGCTGGTTTGGGTTTCTAGAGTGAAGATGGTCAGTGGGGTCTCCCTCTGCAGGTGATGCTGTGGGAATGTGGCTGAGAGCTCCATATACGGGATCAGCACACATAATGCAGTGGAAATGATGTTGGCAAGAGCTCACAGTGGGGACCGGTGCAGGAGGTGTCACCCTGGTAGGTGCTCCTATAGCAGGAGACAATCCAGGAGGCCACTGATGGGGGCAGCACATGCAAAGGATGGAAGGGAGAGCCATGTGGCTGAGTCGGGAGGAGAACTCAGCTCTATGAGTTGTAAAGAGTCTTTTTTTAAATCAGCTGCAACATTTCCTGGTCTCTTTGGAAATGAATCTGGCTTTGCAGAACGACTGCAGCCCCAGCTCCATCTCCAGGGTCCCCTGTCAGAAGCAGAGAGCAGTCTCGTGTTTTCTGTATGTTGCTTAGCTTGTGTCTCGACACTATAGACCCCAATTCTCTAGTTACGTAAATGCTTCAGTTAGGCAGCATGAGCAGTCCCCTGCTAAGTGAAATGGTCTGAAGTAAACAGGATGAAGTTTAATGAAGACAAATGCAAAGTGCTCTACTTGGGAAGGAACGATCAGTTTCACACATACAGAATGGGAAGCGACTGTCTGGGAAGGAGTACGGCAGAAAGGGATCTAGGGGTTATCGTGGACCACAAGCTGAATATGAG